CTCAAGTTCAGCAAATAATACGAAAAATGCTTGTTTGACTTCTTCATCTCGTGTTCCGTTAACTGTCCTTCGACGTTAAAATACCAATCATGAAATCTAAGATAGAGATCCAAATGATGCCATTGAATCAGCGAGCAAATCTAACAAGATGTCCCAAAATTCTGGCTGCCAACTACATGACTGTGCTTCCAGGTATGATAGTTTATTGAATTTCAAAATAATTTATAAATAGTTTTATGGATCTATAATATTATATAAACAGAACACCTGCACGAACTGAAGAAAGTAGCAAAACTACAAAAACTAGATGCATGGAAGATGATACTGGGCCTACTAAAGAATGATCTTTAAAAATGTCTAGTAAGACAAAAACTAATGGTATGATATAATTATTTATGAATAATATTTATATATATTAATAAATCGAAATTAATTCTAACTTTATTTGCAGGAAAAGCAAAAAAATATAAATAGATTTATAGAATTGATGAGAAGATTGTTTAATCTTTAAAGATATAGTGCAGATATGCTTGACGAATTTAAAAACAAATGCTTTCACTTGTAATTAATCATGTGCGTGGTAAAAATATGATTTAACAGTATATATATTTTATTTATCAGAATTTCAATAGTTTCATCATACTTATGATCACTAAATTCTATATCAAATTCTTTATTAATATTGAAGATTACATCAATATTAATTAGTAATAAAGAAATAGTAAAAATTGAAATTTTGAAAAATGAATTCTGGTTTTACTGATAAAACTTCTTAGTAATATTTGAAGGTATTTAGATGTTATAACAACTTTGCTCACAAAAATATTTTAAAAATTTTTATTTAAAAAACTTAATTAGAATAAGAAAATAATTATAAAAAATTTATTGCAATCTTTATTATAGAACTTGTTAATTCGAAGATAATTTTAACTCTACAAGCATTTCTTTTATAATTTTTAGATATAATTAGTTAAAAGAACTTATAATCTAATCTATTTATTCAATTAATAAATAATATATAACAAAAGTATTTTAATTTTTCTATTCTGCCTATTTTTTTTTGTAATTTTCTATCCTGCTATATTTTATTTTTAATTCATTTTTTCTTTTCTTATGAATTCAATATATATTTTTAGATAACAATTTATTATGTTCACTTTGAACTAAATCAGTATATACATTGGAAATGAATATATGCAAAGAGATCTCTTTGTATCTTGAGATCTATATTTATATAGGATCAATTTTGCTTTAACTGAATAAACTATATACAAATTTGATTTTAGAAAAGTATAGCATAAAATTATTAATTTTGCAATATTATTAATAATAAATAATTTATAAATATTAAATAGAATTCATTATACATTCAATATTG